GTTTGATTTAATTTTTTATAAATAGCAATTATTTTTTAAGGGTTTGGGATTTGTCCGGGTTTGGCCGGCAAGTATATGCTCTACAGTATTTATTATGATTATTATAGTTTTATAGTCTAATTTTATAAATTTATTATATTATTGTTGATACGTAGAACTTTCCAAGTGATTATGATAAAGAAAATGATTTGATTCCAAAATTTAATAAAAAGGTTTTTCTTATTAACTATCCTAGCATTATCAATTTTCTTATTATTGCATTAAAATTTTTAAACCTGTTAGTCTCATTTGGTACAAAATGCTCCTGTCTATAGAAATGGTGGTTCTGGTGATGTCTATAATAATGAAAGAAAGGTATAATATATTAAAAATTTTGTTTTTTTTTATTGTATCTAATTTTGAAGTTCCAAGTGATCACGATAAAGAAAATGATTTGATTTCAAAAAAGTTTTTTTCTTATTAACTATCCTTGCATTATCAATTTTCTTATTATTGCATTATTATTTTTTAAACGTTAGCCTCATTTGGTACAAAATGCTCCTGCCTATAGAAATGATGGTTCTGCTTTGGCAGATACAAATGGTGATATCTATAATAATGAGAGAAAGGTATAATATATTAAAATTTTTGTTTTTTTATTATATCTAATTTGAAGTTTAGTTGGTTAGCAAATTTTTTTAGATATATAGTAATACTAGGATACCATATAGTGTGATTTAAAATATCTAGAATTTACCTATCTTTAATACTCCAGATATAGTATATTCTAGGCTTTAAGAGATATTATAATGAGAAGGTTTTTTTAGATCACGCATCTATTATTAAAAATTGTTTCTTTAACTATTCCAAGAACACCTTGAAAAATTTTACATATAAGCTACGTAATCAGATTTCGAAACCAGATATAATATGAGAAGATTTGAGTAATAAAACTATTAAAATTAACTTTGGGTTAGATTATGGAATAGCATATATCAAAGCTTGACAAGGAATTTTTTTTTGTTAGAATGTATAAGGTGGTTTCATAGACAAGATTTTGGATTACAAATAATTTTTTTTTTAAAAAAAATGCATAATTTCACAGGGTGTTCTTGGGCAGTTGTGTTTTTTTCATATTACATGTGATTTTAAAATTTAATTGGTTAGCCAAATTTTTTAGATGGCAATACAAGGCAGTTACGTATAAATATACTTACACAATATTTTGTTTAATAATACCAAGATTCTTCAAGATGAGAATAAACACCTCAAAAAACAAAATAAAGGTATTACATTTAAATTGAATGTATTTATAATTATTTAATAGTTATTGTGTTAATAAATAATTTATTATATACAGAATTAGAAAACCAAGTTCAAGATATGAAAAGACTGCTTGTTAAAAAAGATAAGGAAGTAAGTAATTTATTGTCACAGCTAAATCATGAAATTTTAAATACTTTAATATACAATTTTCAAAAAATTTTTGGGGTTAGTTTTGATAATTAAAATATATAATTAGATTTTGGCAAAGTTTATATTTTTAAATCAAAGTTCCTAATTTCAAGCTTTAGCCATGACATTTGTTTTACATTAAGGCTTAATATTTTATCATTCTAATAAATTATTATTTATAAATAAGATAAAGCGATTAAATGATCTTTTCTGTGAAAAACTGATGAACTCGATGAAGTTGTGATCAAAATTATTCGTGATGACAAAACAATTTTGTTAAATCATAACATAATGTAGATTATGTTTGAAAATTTGGATTTTATTTAATTTTTGGTTTATAACAAACCAAAATACTATCCTATTTTAAATCAATAGTGTTAAAAACACAAGTATTAAAGCTAGGGTTGCAACCCAAATCTTTTATTAAAACTACGGGTTACTATTAATTTTGGGTTTAAAATCAGGATTTTACATGATAAGAAATCTGACTTCTATAGCTTTGGTGTAATCCTTTAGGAAATTTCAAGCAAAAGACCACTGCTTTTTATTTCATTAAATAGTGTCAAACTCAAAAACTACAATTTATTAAACAAGTAAGCATTTATTTAATAAGATGATGTTAATAATTTAAACAAAATCAAAATTCTAATTGAATAGTTCTAATACCTTTTAGAATGATTATTCAAGCCTATTTTCATATCTTCTTGTAAACTATCAATGATATAAGATTATTGTACCAATATTATAAAGCAGACAATAAATTTTTATGATGACAGTAAACTCATAAGATAGTATTAAGTGCTGAAGAACAAGCTGTATTAATCCCATTAAAATTATTATTCAAGTTATCCAAAATAATAAAACACCTTATAGCATCCTGAGAGCATATCTACAGGTCAAAAAAAAGTTATCCAAGATCATTGTTTATGTATACAAATTATTCTGCACCTATTTAATCTATAGATAGTAAAATCACATTTAATTATTATTACTTTCATATAATGTTGGAGTACTGAAAGTTTCTAAAAGTCATATACATAGTAGTGAAGGTAAAAATGCCAATAAATCATGATCTATTAAACCAAGTTTAATAATTTTACCACTATTGAAACCGGAATAGCTTGCTTTATAATATTTGTTAGAAACTCAAGAAAGGTTTACTAGGCATAAAAAATCTTTTCATTATAAGCTAGTTGTATTCTACCTCTATAGAAAAATTATATTAACTTCTGACAATTTCTATTATTAAATTTGCTATTTTTTATACCTTTTAATCATGATTGACCTCTTAAATTTGACAGCACTTAGTTGATAACCAATACTTCTAAATTGAATCTCTTTAACACAATTGTTAATATCTTTATTTTTGCCTGTTCTTTTCTTGGATCATGTTGGGATTTTGGCTTATACAAAATAATTAATGCAAACTAAATTAAAATTACAATAATTATAGTTTATTTTAAAAACTTGGATTAATAAATAATATAGTATCGATAGATAAAATTAAATAGGTGCTGATAGATAAAGCTAAATAATAAATATTTACAACTTTTAGGCTAATAAATTTCAAGACTTTAATATATCTATTTGATAGCTGTGATCACAACTCAAGTTTAATTATATTATTATTTGGAGAAAATTATTTATACACTTATGAGTAGCTTTGTGTTTTCACATGATGATTTATGTGTCAGAAAGTTCTAAACTTAAACAAGGGTGATCTATTGTGTTCTATTTCATATTGGTGATACAAAAAAATTTTGCAACTGATTTTATACTTAGTGGCGCAACATTTAATATATTTGATATGATTAAAAGATATACACTGTAATACAGTTTTT